AATAATAATAAAATGTTATAAAAATTATAGTGATTTGTTTTCATCCATCAGTGTTTTCCAATAAAGTCGAAACATGTTATTGTTGCTTACAGGTCCTACCAATTTAATTTATAAAATTGAAAATAAAAACAATTTTGGTGCAGAAAAGTCTAATAATTTATTTTTATTTTTTTTTATATATGATCATGATACTAAATTAAATACTATTTAATAATTTTGATCTCACATCAAATTTAAATATAAATTTATATTTTCCCCCTTCAAATTACATGTTTTTTTCCTTATAATCGTAATTTCTTAGAAGGAATAATATGACTATTTTTTGTATTATGATTGCTATATCATTAAAAAAAACTATTTTGATCAGGCACGAATCTCGACGCAAAATCAGGCCGTAAATTTCAAAAATTAAATTGGAAATCATCTAAACTCTGATTTCAACAAACTTACAGTCGAACTGAATGTCTCAAAAATGCAAACCCAACGACATCAAATTTAACCCAATCCGAGCTCCAATTGGTCCAAATCAAAGACATAGAGTGCGTTTGGAAGATTCAATCTATAATTTTTATTACCAAACAATTTTCAAATGTGACATGCTTATAGTTGAATCGAGCGGCTCGACGAGACGATCCAACGAGCCCAACATTGTCAAATTATGATATTGTTAAGACATTCAAATGCCTAGTAAACGGTCCACGATTGAGGGATTCAACATCAGCCGTCAATTCAAACAACTCTTAATTTATCCTTGATCTTCCTCCTATTTACTGGTCATACAACTCTAATAAAACTATAAGTAGACCCCTCTTTTCTCAAGTGGGAGGACCCCAAGCAAGAAGGAAAGATAAGGAAGCAAAGAAGTAAGAAGAAAAGCAATAAAAGGAAGAGAATGAAGAGAGCTCTCTTGCCACCAGACTCCTCCTCAACCATAGTCGGACTCCCATCCGGCTACCGACTGATGCCAGAGTTTTGCTCGACCTCCAACTGGCGTCAGAGTTCTGCCCGACCGCCGATTAACGCCAGAGTTCTGCCCGACGGCCAACTATAGCAGAAGTTTTGTCTGGCTGCCGACTAACACCGAAGTTTTGCCGATAGCTGACTGGTGCTGGATTTCTGCACGATCAACCATCAATTGGAGCCAAATTCCGCTCGACCACCAAATGCCGTCAGATTCTCAATTTTCGTTTGTAACTGAATTTCAACCCGGGAGTTGATTATTATAATATGATCGTCCTTAATTTCAGGGACGAGTCAACCACTTATAATCTAAGCGAACACTAGTTAAATCCTTTCAACTAGGCTTGACTTTGTAGTTTTTTTCTTTCCAAGGTTTTCCACGTAAAATTATGATGTTTCTTTTCTATTATGTTTGTGTGATGGATATCTATACAAGGCTTAGATGAAAAAAAATTTAACTCTATCTCCTCATATATTCTAGCCCGCAACAATGATCATGCCGTTTATAAAAAAATGATTAAATCGTTATTTATACTCATAGATATTCTTTTCATATAAACTAGAAAAATATATAAAATTAACGATAAAAAATATTAAATACATATTTTATAATATTTTTCACACAGCTCTATAATCATAATTATAATAATTATTAGTATTATTAGAGACTAGTAGACATTTTGTCGCTCTTACTTTGTATTTTAGCATGCATTTGTGGAGACTTATTAGTGTGTAGTCATGCTAATAAAGTGAATTGACGTGACTTTTTATTTTGGATCCCAAATGGAGGTCATTAAACCTCATTTGAACAATGAGTCCGAACTAAAACATGGTCAAAAGTCTTCATATTATATAATTTAGGGTCATTAAAAGCATGTAAAAAATCCATATAAATGGGAGCATAGTGCTTCCATTTTCTTAAATAAATATTTAAATTTTGTTTGAGTGAAATTCAAAATTACATTTTGATTGGGATATTCATTAATGCAAATGGCCAAACTAGCATCGGTAAACAAAATAAATTTATCTTTTTTATTTCTTCGGTCATGATCATTTGCCATGCGTTACATTAACTACCTGACGCAATATTCTAATTTTCTCATTCAGGCAGTGACAGATAATATTAGAAAGAGTGACTTTAGATGGTTTGGACTCATAAGGGGTCTTTAGCCTTCCGATTAGGGTGTCAATTTTGAGTCACGGGTCGGGCGGGTCGAACTTGGAACTGACCCGGGTTCAATCGGGTCGACCCTAACCCGACCCGGGTAGGTAAACAGGTCGAAAACTTAGATCCGGACCCAACCCGTCAGGTTGTCGGGTTGACCCGACTAGACACAAGAACACAGGCGGGCGGAACGTTGACGCGCAGACTCTGGCGCTCGGGTGCGCGGACTCAGACACCCAGGCAAGCACGCGGCCAGGCACTCTGACGCGGGCGCGACTGGCGAGCGGCAACGTCTGCACGGGCAGACTCTAGCAAGGCGCATGCAGCCTTGGAGGCCGCGCGGGTAGCCAGGTCGGGTCCAACCCGAAATTTTCGGGTCGGGTTTTAGTGTGGTGTCAAATATTGACACCCCTACTTCTAATGACCTGATTAGGAGAGTATATGTGATAAATTTAACCTGTGTTAAAAAATGTAGAGTTATACCTATAAAAAATGGGGTCTGAAATTATTAGAAATGACCTATTTTATGAATTTATTATTTTGTGTGGAGTCCTGAAGGCATCTGAGGATCAATAAAAATGTGTCACATCATTCAAAAAATGTACCGTGCTTGGTACCATGCACAGTACCCGCGCTCGGTACCAAGCGCTTAACCGGACGACTTTCCCGTCCAGTGTCCGCACGGAATAATAGCTCCTCGATTTTATGAGATTTAAATGAAAATTTGACTCTTAATATATAAGATATAATAGAGAAAAAAGATTCATGTAGTTGACCTAGCCTATGGTGTAATGAGATACAAAGTTGATGTTGGTGTTGTGGTTCTTATTTCTATTGTATTACTTTTCAAACGGGAGGTTTGAAATATATATTGACTATGAAAGTCTCCACATCGAGCTGAGAAATTACGCCGAGATTTAAAAAATAATTTAAGGCCTAACAACATTTAAATTAATTAAGTTGTAATTAAGTGGTAATTAAGCTGTAACTGCGCTTCGCTCGCTGTTATAATTAATTAGATATTAATTATATTTTATGCGTACAATAATTATGATATTATAATAACATATTAATAGCAGAACTTATATCTTCAAAGCAAACTCAGAAGACTTATATTAATTCATTTCAAGACTAAAAGCTATTCAAAGCGTCGGTTGGAGATATGTACAGGAAGTTGTTGTTATTGTTATTATTGTTATGCAATTTATTTCAAAAATTAGAGTAGCTTTGCCTTTAATCACTTTCTAACAATATTTATCGGCTTTTTTTTTTAATTATTATTATTATCAATTGATTGAACATTCCATACTATAAAAAATTTCAAAAAAAAAAATTTTTTTTTGAAATTTTAAGTGAGTCTTCAAGTCAATTAAATTATTAAAATCATGTTAGGCTTCGTTTGGGATGACTTTTTTATGTTTTTTTTTTTTAAACAGTTTTTTAATATAAAAATTTTACTTTAAAAAAATTTTGGACTGCAAAGTTAATTTAAAAAGCATTAAGAAACTCGTCCTAAGGCTTCATTTGGGACGGCTTTTTACTACTTTTGTTTTAACCCAAAAGGCCTTCATGTCAAACAATAAAAAGATACAAGTACAAAACAAACATAGGGCTCGCTAAAGCTCCCAAGAGCAACAATACAAGAGGAAAGAGAATCCTAATTAGCCGGCAAACCAAACCACAAAACAAAGTGAAAATCAAAGTACAAAATAAGCATATATGAAGATCCAGACTTAGGAGGCAACGCACACCCACCATCAAGCCAAACAAGGGCCATCCATTGGAGGCAACAAATGAAGAGCGAAATGCCACAAATCCCAACCGCAAAAGGGCCACCAAGATTGCCAACAAGCTGGGCCCAAGAGTTAGTACACCAAAGCCTCATCATCATTGCCCTGAATCAACCACCAAACAACAAAAAAAAAAAATCGGCAAAGCATATCGCAATCAGTAGAAGAGGACACCATTGACAAAGAAGAAAATACAACAACTTTTCTGAATCCGGATGGAAATTCATTTTTTTTCTTTGATTTATATTTTTTCTTCTAACTTTTTTTAAGAGGAAGATCAACATTGGCAATTTAAAGAATACTTAGATCAAAATTGTCCATAGAATCTAAATAATTATCATCAAATTCTTCTCTAGCAGTTGAGAAAAATTCATCATTCAACCAATCACCATGTATGACCTCATGATCCCTCACATTGCAAGTTAGGTGAATAAGCACGGCGTAATTAGAAATAACTGAAATGAGAACATCAACCATTCCCCCATTTCCCACCATATGACCATCACCCTTAAGAGCAGAAGCAGTAGCACCCACATCACATTAATAAAGAGTCAAAAACCCACCCGCATATGGAACACCATTGTTTCCAGGATCCAGAGAAATATCATCATCAGAAAATCCAGTTTCACCATTATTAACATCAACATTAGAGTCAGGGGATACGATAGGACTAGTAAGCCACCGGAAGGAACATCAGAAACATCAACCCCGTCCATAAAATTACCAGAAGAAGGTACTACCGGCACATCAATAGACAACATCACCTCAATTTCATTTACATATTGGTTAGGAGGATCAAACACATCAACCGGCGCAACCAAATCAACAACCGGAACCACTAGAGCAACGGGAGACCCACCATCAGAAATACCCAAGGGAGGAACAACAACCCCAGTTGCCTCCACCACATTATTCACCAAATTAAGAACATCAATTAAAGACTTAACATGACCCAACATATTAGATGAAACAACAACATTTTCATCACTAACAACATTTTTCACAGCATAAGTTTCATTCATAAGCAAGTTAAGAGGATTCATAGAAGTAGCATAAACGGTGACAGAGGACAAGGTTCGACACTCCCCCCTCCCATGCCCAAAAGCTTTACAGATATCACGAAAGGCTTAATTTGCATAGTTTGGATGTAACCCAACTTATCAAGACCAAGCCGCACTTTATCCGGATAGTTTTTAGTGATGTCCAGTTCAACAAAGACGCGTTAGAGAGGGTCGAGAACCAACGGAGGTGGCGTTAAAAAAAAGAACCCAACGCATGAAGGATTTATGGAGCGAATAAATGAGGCCGTAAAATAGGGAAGGAAATCTAAATGGAAATAATAGGGGATTCAACACCTATATCAATGGAAGGAAACCATTTGATAACTTTCATGTAGCAATTATAAACAAGGTAAGAATGGTGGCAGAAAACCCTGCTATAATTCAGGCCACTAGTCAATTAAATTATCACATGAGAGGGGGCCTTTCTTATTCGCTTTGTGTACTAAGTATTTGAAATGACAGACTTTTAAATACTTTCACAACTCAATGAATTACATCAAATTACATTATGAAAAAGAAAATTTAGACTCGGACTCCTGCATGGTTATCCTAATAAAACATCCAAAGCAGTCAAACAAGGTTATAGAGAAATTAGCGGATAACTTAAGATTGAAAAAAAAAAACTACATATGGTATCCAATCTAGGAGGACGGGAAGGAAAAAAATCAAGTAAGACAAACTGGAAGGGTGCCGCCAACGAAATAATCTCCTCCTCTGAAATCCACATAGCTGGTAAACCGCGATAGGTAGTCATTTTGATAACCGAAAAACAAACATCCGATGCAGAAACAGACAAAGCATCCAAGAAAGAACACGACTTCTTGGATCCATCCAAAAAACTAAGATCCAAGAACCGATTCGTCACCATTCAGGCCACGAAGGGCCGATGGGAACGAAGCAGAAAACAAACAAAAAATAACAAAAAGAAAACCAAAAGGGAGGAAAGAACTTTCCTAAAACTAGAGATGCGGCAACGGCGGGGCGTTGCCGGAGAAAAACCACCTGGAGAAGCCCAGGCATAGCGGGGCGGAAAAGTCCTAGCTCCGAACGTTGAGGATCCCTAGCTTCGGATGCGGAGAGTAATCATAAAGCATGTGTGGCTTTTTAACTACTTAAAAAATAGTTTTTCAGTATAATGATTAAAATTTTTATAGTAAAAAGTTATGGTAAGAAACAATAAGATAAATAATTTTTTTTATTATTTTTTAAAATAATTTTCTTTAAATAAAAATTATAAAAAAAATTTATAAAAATCAATGAGAAAGCTATCCAATAAACTTGAATGTGAATTCTTAATATCGAGATTGTGCGTGCAGCTCATTGGTTAAGCGAAATTTTTCCTCCTACATGCGACTCATGTTGAATTCCCCTAATGGAGTAAAAAAAAAAATTCCCTTAATACTGGTGTTTTGATTATGTGTTGAAATAGGACTTAATATTAAAGGGCACAATTTTCGCGCGAGTGGGAGAAGATTTTTCGCTCTGCTAGGGTTTGCGCCGCTTAGGGTTCCTCTCTTCGCCGTTGCTTGGGAGGGCTTCTCCCTCCCAAGATGGCCGCTTCTTCTCCTGTTTTCCCCCCGCTCCCATCATCCTCTGTTCTAGGCCCGAATCCTGGGGGTCTTTCTTATGCAGCCAATGTATCGGCTTCTTCCTCCAAGCCAGCCAACTTCCCGGTAACGTTCTACAACCCAGCTTAAAAGCTTTCCTTCAAAGCTGATGATTTGTCCGAAGGGAAGACCATCTAGACTTTGACCTTGATTGGTTACTCATTAGGGCCCCGCCCTTACTATGAGAGACTTCTTAAAGCTATGCAGAAGCTGTGGATACTTAAAGGTTCCATGACTCTTCTCTCACTTGCTGATGGATTTTTTCTACTGAAGTTTTCTACTGCGGAAGATATGGAAATGGTCCTTTCGGGTGGCCCCTGGTTTTTGCTGGGGAAACCGTTTATCTTGCAACGATGGTCTCCTAAATTCAAGCCAAAACGCGACGAGGCAGCCCCAATTCCGATTTGGATCAAAATTGTTGATTTTCCTCTTGTCCTCTGGACTCCAACTGGAATCTCCAAAATTGCAAGCTACGTTAACGTTCCAATTTCTGTCGATACTCTCACTGCTAACCATTCTCGGTTGACGTATGCCAGGGTATGTGTACTTATCTCAAAGGATTCTGCTTTACCTGAAGAAATCCCGCTAGAAATTGAAGGTGAGGATTTAGTTTTAAAAGTTTTATATGATTGGAAACCAGACAAATGTGAAGGCTGTGGCTCGTTTATTCACCCATTCTCTCTCTGTCCCAAGAATCCAAATCCTAAACCAGTCCTTCCACCTCAACCTCCGAGAAATCGGGGTCGCAGCACCTCCAGGCACCATTCTTCTCGACCCCATAGATCCCCTTCAAACAGACCTCCCCCCCAATCCAAAAACATAGTTGATAAACCCCTTCCCTCCACTGCTGTGGTATCCAATCCGCCCCCTCTAGTTCAGCCCCAGGCTAATCATACTGATTTATTACTGGCTTCTCAAACTCCTATTTTGGTTCAGTCACAAGCCAATCAAACTAATGTCTCTCTGCCATCTGCTTCTAAAACTAACCCAATCACGAACCTAAACTCGCCCACCAAGGATTCTTCCTCTCCCATACAGCACGCTTCTCCTAAACCATTGCTACCACCCAAAATCCCACTTCTTAATAAGTTTGCCTCCTTGCAAGAGGATGACAATCATATAGCTGAAACTATTGAATCCGTCTCTGAATCCGAATCTGCTTCCGTTTCGATTTCTGTTGATGATCCCGGACAAACGAGCAAAACTGATAAGAACCAACACAATACCAGATCTTCATCTGACAAAGTTAAAACTCCTACTAAGCCCAAACAGTCGAAAGGAAAGTCGGCCAAGAAGGCCAAAGGTCAAAGTTCTTAATGTATCTCCCTAAACTTGCTAGTTAGAATGTTCGGGGTTTTAATAACCCGGAAAAAGTGAGTTTGTGCAAATCTTTGATTAGTTCTCATGATCTTAAATTGTTATGTGTTTTGGAAGCCAAGATTTCTCCTTCCTCTGCTACGGATCCTTGGTTTTTACGTTCTCATCGCCTCTTTGAGAATGAAGGCAACTATCATAATTTTGGGGATTCTGCGTTGGGTAGGATTTGGATTAAGTGGGATAGCTCGGTATTCTCCTTTAAGCCAATTTCCTCCTCTTCCCAATTCATTCATAGTATTCTTTCGGTGGGATCTTTCCCACCGGTCTTCCTCTCAGTGATTTATGCCTCCAATGCTGTGGAGGACCGAAAACATCTATGGGAGTCTCTTACTTCCTCATCTCCGCCTCTGGACCATCCGTGGGTCATAATGGGAGACTTTAACTGTTACAGATATGAAACTGAGAAAGCTGGGGGCACCATGTCTTCCAATGGCAGATTGGGAGAACTTAATAGCATGATCTTTAATTGTGGGGTTCAGGATCTTTCCTCCACGGGTCTCTTTTTCACTTGGTACAACCAGAGAGCGGACAATCCTATTCACATTAAACTTGATAGAGTTTTGGTTAACAATGCCTTATTGGATTTTTTGCCTACTGCTTACTACACTGTAGAATCACATCTTGGCTCTGACCATTCACCTCTAATATTCAACTCCACTCATGATAAGCCGATATCTGTCAGATTTATGTTTAAAAATTACTGGATCAACATGGAGGGTTACTGGGATGATGTTTTGGAGGCTTTTGCTTCTAGATCGGCTAGAAGTCCTATGGCATCTTTCTATCATAGTTTGCAAATGCTTAAAAGGGCTTTCAAAAATAGAAATTGGTCTTCCTCTTCTTTTCTTTCTAATGCTTTGTTAGAAATTAAGAGCAAACAACATCAATGCTTGGCGGAGCTGCAAGCTAATCCGCTAGATGTGGAGTTAAATCATAACCTGAAGAAAATTAATGAAGAGTTGGCTTCTTTTCAGGCTAATTGGACTTCTTGGTTAGCCCAAAGAGCCAAAGTATTATGGCTTACCAAAGGAGAAGATGACCTTGGTTTTTTGTTTGCAAAAATTAGAAGTAGAAACAATAAAAACTGTATCAAGGAGATTGTTACTTCAGAGGGACATTTTATTACTTTCAGTGACATTTCTAAAGCTATTATCAAGCACTTTGAGAGCCTTTTTAACTCTAGCCATACTACTCCTGTTTTGCCTTTCAATATTCCTACAGGTAATATGGTTCCTCCTCATTTTTATGGCATGTTGGTGTCTCCTTTATCGTTTGAGGAAGTTAAAAAGGCGGTTTTTGATGGGAATGAAAATACTGCACCTGGCCCGGATGGTTTCACTTATGCATTCTATAGAAAATCATGGCATCTCATTGGCTTGCAAGTGTTTAATGCTGTTAATAATTTTTTTGTTACGGGCTCTCTTCCTAGAGGTGTTAAAGCTACAGCCATTGCTTTAATTCCTAAATGCTCTCATGCTACAAACATCAATGATTTCCGCCCTATTTCTCTCTGCAATGTTCTATACAAAATTGTGGCAAAAGTCCTTTCCAATAGACTAAAAGTTGTTCTTCCCCACATCATTCATGATAGCCAATCTGGTTTTATCACTACTAGATGTTCTACGGATAACATTATTCTTGCTGCAGAGATTCTAAGAGATTTTAAAGGCTCCACAAAAAAATTTTGTGCGAAGCTAGATATCAGAAAGGCTTTTGACACTGTCTCTAGAGAATACATCATTGCTAGACTTTTGCAAAAAGGCTTCCCTGAAGTCTTTGTTGGTTGGATTAAAGGGTGCATAAGTGATGTTCATTTCTCCATTTGTTTAAATGGTTCCCTCGAAGGCTTCTTTAAATCTAGCTCGGGTTTACGACAAGGATGTCCCTTGTCCCCCCTCCTTTTCTGCGTTGCCATGGATGGTTTATCCCAAACTCTTTCTGATTCTCATAATTTCAAAGGTATTAAATGTAAGGATGTCCAAATCAGCCATTTGATGTATGCGGATGACCTCTTGGTGGTTGGGGAGGCTACTATTGAAAATGCTAGGCATCTGAATAGGTGCTTACAGGATTTTGGCTCATTATCTGGTCTACATATTAATACCATTAAGAGTGCTATTATATTCTCTCATCAAGGCCCACAAAATCAAAGGTTTTGTGAGGTACTTGATATTCATAATATCAATCCTCACTTAACTTATTTGGGTATCCCCATTTCCACAAAAAAACTTAAAGCCTCTCACTTCCAACCTCTACTGAGCAGAATTTTTGCTCTACTTGAAGGTTGGAAAAACAAGTTTCTCTCTTTTGCAGGTAGGGTACAATTCCTTAAATTCACTATCTCCAACACAATTGCTTATTGGATTAGAGGATCCATTATACCCAAAGGTTGTTGTGCCTCTATCAACAAACTTTGCTCAAAATTTTTATTTCATAACAATTTGGTGGAGAGGAAGCTTCATCTTATTTCCTGGTCAAATGTTACACTACCTAAAGCTAAGGGAGGGTTAGGTATCCCTTCGATTGAGGCTCTCTATTTTGGTATTTCTTGCTCTATTATTTGCAGATTTTATAACTCTAAAAATCTCCTCAGCCGTTGGTATAAAGCAAAATTCATATCTCCGTGGAAACCTTGGCCCCTTTCAGCTTCTAACTACTGGAAGAAAATCTCCACTACTGCTTTTAAGATCCAATCTGAGATTCAATTCTTTGTGTCTAAGTTCAGTGAATTTTCATTTCTGTGGGATCCCTGGCTTCATGGGCACTTTATCGAAGAGGCTTCTTTTGCTGACGATGCCTCTCTGGTGAAAGATTTTTATTTTAATGATACCTGGCACCTTCCCAGCTCTATTCCATTGGGTATAAGGGAGAATATTCTGGCTGTGCATAACAAAGGAATGAATGAGGTTTTATGGCATGGTTCTTCCAAATGGCTTTTCAAAAACTTTGTTGAAGTTTACCATTCGTCTATTCCTAATGTGGATTGGTGTAATGCGATTTGGCATAAGAAACACACTCTTAAATATGCTTGGTTTGCCTGGATGGCCAGGCTGGGAAAACTGAAAACGGCGGATAACCTTCTTATTCAGGGTATACAGGTGCCTCAAAACTGCTCTTTATGCTCGGGAATGCTGGTGAACCATTATCATTTATTCTTTACCTGTGATTTCTCCTTCTTTATTCTCAAGTCTATATTGCCTGATTTTAATTGCTTTTTACTTAGACCCAATTTATCCCAAACGTATGACTTCATAGAAAATTCTGTTTTGTATAACAAAACGGAAAAAGATTTCTGCCTTTGAACTATAAGCTGTGTTATTTACCACATCTGGAGGGAACGTAACAACCGCCGCTTCTCTAATGTTAGAATTAATGTGGTTAAGATGATTTCTAACATCTCATCGGCTGTTAGAGTTAAAACATCAAAATGGAAAGACAGAAATCATTTGCTGCAAAGATTTACGGGAATTTAATTGGGATTCCTTTTAGCTTGTGCTGGAGATTTTATATCATTCTATTCACTGGAGATGATACTTTTGGTTTAGCTTCTTCTCTTCCATTCTCTTATGATTTGAAGGATCAGGTTCTTTTTGGCGGTTTTCATGTTTTTTTCAGACCCAGGTTGGGAATTTTTGGGAATGTGGCCGTTTTGTTTGGTGCTCACATTCCAGCTAGTTTGTGGAAAATTTTCAGTATCTCTCACGGGTTTAACACAAAGACTATGCCTGCAATACTTTGGTGGATTTCCGGCAATCAGACAATGATGAGTATGGACTGTCTCTCCGAGCTATGGATGGCTGTCTTGGCAACCTGGCTCGTTTTTGTGCCTAGTTTGGGCAGGCTGGATGGTACTGTGATGGCCAGTTTTGCGGGGATCTTTTTTTCAGCTTCCTCAGGTTTTGTGGGCAACCGGTTCCACCGCCTGCTTCTGTTGGATCGATTCATTGAATTCTTATGATGAATGAGACAGCGTTTTCTTTCCGAGTCTTCGGATTGCCTTTTTCATCTTTGTTTTTGCTATAATCTTTGTGTAATTTTGTATTAGATTTGCTTTCCTTTTCTACAGGTTACTTGTAATTTGAACCTTATTTTCTAATATATGGGCTCTTGCCCCGGGTTTTCCCAAAAAATTATGTGTTGGACAACGCGCATCATCACCGTCCATTACCTGAATAGCAATTAATATCAGTGGCCAGTTGCACGTACGGCTTTGATTCGATCTGATTGAGTTGGCCCGCATGTTGCTAGCAAATTAAACCCGGTTCGACCGGCTCAAGCACCCAATTCATACTCAAATAACTATGGATTGATCAGGATACGGAGAAAGAAACGATGGCCACAGAAAGATATAAAAAACAACTATCATCATCTTCTTCTTCGTGGTCTCTCTGTAATCTGTTTAAAAAAAATGAATATTTGTACTCTTCTTCAGCTGAATTCTCATCTCATCAGCCAAAGTTGTTTTCTTCGACTTCCACTTCAGAAGAAGCAGACCAACCTACTACTGTTTCCTCGGCTCAGAAGGCTCTGCGCCGCGGAGAAGGTGGCCGCCGGTGAGCAAGAAGAGCCTCCCTCGATGGACTTTGCTTTTGTTAGTGTATGTTATATAACCTCTTAGCTTTTAGTAACTTACTTAACTGATTAATTAGCGTGCACTTAATTAATTAATTAATTAATTGTTTCAACCATTGATAATTTAAAGCCAAGGCTTCTTCCAGATGGAACACCGGACATCGGGATACGTTCGGCTGCCAGCGGCAAGAGTCTTAGGGATATCATGCTCGATGCCTACTGATATATCATCAAAAAATAATATTGATCGGGCACAAATATCGATGCAAAATTGAATTGAAAGCTTCCAAAATTAAATCGGAGACCATCTGAATTCTGATTTTAACAAACTTACAGTTGAATTGAGCGTCTCGGAAACACGAACCCAACAACACCAAAATCTACCCAATCCGAGCCCCAATGAGTCCAAATCAAATACTCGAAGCACTTTTGGAAGGATAAAATCACAATTTGGGTTACCAAACGATCTTCAATCATGACATGCTTATAGTCGAATCGAGCAGCTCGACGAGCCGAATTCAACGAGCCCAATATTATCAAATTCTTGTATTATTAAGATAGTCAAAAGTCCATTGAATGGTACTTGATTGTAGGAATCAAGATCGGCTGTCCATCCGAATCACTCCCAATTTACCCTTAATTAGTCTTCCACTTATTTATAAGTCATGCTACTAAAGAATTCTATAAATAGAGCCTTATTTTTTCTTGAAAAGGGAGAAAGAGTCAAGAGAGAAGAAGAGAGAGAAGGAAGAAAGCTCCAGCTGCCTAGCTCTTCCTCGACCACCGCCGGAGTTTTGTCGCACCACCGGGGGAGTTCTGCCGCACCACCGCTAGGGAGTTTTGTCGCACCATCACCAGACCATCCAAGGACGTCGAACTGCCACCAGAAGTCGGAGTGCCCCATGAAGCTGAAGTGTCACTGCCAGAGCACCGCCTGACGCCGGAGTGCCTTTGGACCACCACCTGACATCGAAGTGTGGTTGAAACATTGTCGAGCCACTGCCTGTTGCTAGAGTTCTGTCGTATCTCTACTTGACGCCAGACTTCCGCCGGATCACCGTCTGACAATGGAGATCAGCAAGACCACCCCCTGAGGTTCGGACTTCTACCGTACCACCACATGAGGCCCGAACTTCTCCCGGACCACCACCTAAGGCCCGAACTTCTGTCGGACCACCATCTGATGCCTGGAGTTCTGCCGAAGTACAGCCCTACTACTAAGGTGACCTCCCTCGCCAGACAACAGACTTTTTGACCCCCATCTTCTGCCGACTACGGTCCTTCTGACCTCCCTCGTCAGAAAACGATTTTTTTGACCCCTATCTCCTACTGACTGCAATCCTTCCAACTTCTGTCGCCAGCTACAATCTTTTCGACCTTTGTCTTACCGACTATGGTCTTGCTAACCAAATGAACATATCTTTGTTGATGCGCTCCATATGATGTACATTTGTGACATCAAGCCAATGCTTTCTCTCGAAGAAGGGCCTCATTTGTAATCAGTTACAAATACTAGTGGATTCTTTCAAATTGGGTCAGGCCCCATGGTTTCCCCTTTTTCAAGGGTTTCCACGTAAAAACTTTAGTGTCTCTTATAAATGCTGCACTCTCTCTCTTTCATCTGTTTGTGTGCCGGATATTTGTGCATTACTAATAAGAGAAATTTACTCATTCTACCATCGTGAATATCCTAGCCCGCAACACCTACATTGATCTCTATGGCCCCTATGTACGTACAATTGTGTACAGATCTTTCAGCTCCTTATTGAGTTGGAGCATATATATATATTTCTCTTTTCCCAAGAAAAAAATTCTCAAAAAAATCATCTTTCTATAGATTTGTTGCAGAGATCACTGCTGACTGATTTAATAGTGTGAATGGTTGCAGGATGCACCGCTTTCCAACTGCGCTGGATTTGGCACTTGTGGGACTTGTCTTGTAGAGGTGCAACTTACATTTCGATCGGCGGGTTTGCGGTCGAGTGTTGGATGGAAGAAATTCCTCCGGCGATGTCGGGTTCGTGGTCGAGTGGTGGATGGAAGAAATTCCTCTCCTCACTGGGGCTCGAATCCCCTGACTATCCAAAAAAAAAAAAAACATTTTCATCGGCACAGAAAAACTTTAGTTTGCTTCGTATTCTGTGTTTGTGGCAAAACATATATATGGAATAAATTTTTAAGACATTCAAATTTATTTTGGGACTTCAACAAAATTAAAAATTTAGTTGAGCGAACTTTATGAAAGCATGCATGCAGGTTGTTGAGGGAACGAAGTTGCTGAGTTCGCGCACTGATAAGGAGAAGGAAATTTCTTTTTACATTCATTGCTTTTAATTGAGTCCATTTGATGACCTGCTTGCTTGCTATGTTGATTTTGTCATTACATTGAAAATAATAATAAAATTTTATTATTTTTTTAAATATGATGCTTATTCTTTAATATTCTCAGTACCTCACTAATAGAAAGATTATATTCGTATGGAAATTACAGAAGCCAAGAACATGGAGATTAGCATGCCAAACCACAGTTGGTGACAAGGATTCAAGAGGACAAGTATCAGTTCTTAATTATAATAAAATTGTGCACTTAAATCCTATTTACTCATTAAAAAAAAACTTAATTGGGTTAATGTCTGTATATATACTTGCAGGTTGTAATTCATGCGGTAAAAAGTAAAAAGACGAGGCTAAATATCATTGACGTATGAACGTAAAGCTACGTCAGATCACCTGACCTAATAATTATTCCTGTGACAGACTGCGCAACTATTTTTTTTTTTTTGGGACATTTAAGCCATTTAAGGCAAACTCACACACACTACGCATACACATAGACTCGAACCCTGAACCTCTTAGTTGGAAGCCTAAGCTCTCAACCAATAGGCCAAGGAGAGTTGTGTGACTGCGCAACTGTAGAACAGCCATAAGTTAAAGTGTTAAAGCTTGCTTCAAAAGGAACAGATTTTTTTTAAGTGTATATATTTGTGAATATTTAGCTCCAATTTCAAAAGAAATCATACTGAATGAGTTATATGTTTATTTCATATAGTTTAGCATTCTACTTTGTTTGAATGGTAAAAATTCATTGCTACTTCTTATTAATTTAGATCAAACAATTTGTCCCGAAATATTCTGACTTAACTTAGATAAAAAATATGTTAATTTACTTTCCAGTAAATATAATAGAAATTGTAATTATGCGGCAGACTGATCTCAAAATAAATCTAAAAGTTATAAAATTTCATCTCATAATATGCTACTCAAGTACAATTTCATCTCATAATCAATCTTTAAAATATTAAAAAGAAAGGCTAGCTCAGACCATGCACAGGATCTCCAGTTCAATTATGGCTACCGACAGACAATCCTACACCAATCAATTCTACATTATTTTCTGAACAAAAATGTACAAGAATATATCAAATCAATCAAAAGCTTTATTGGAAAATAGGGCTCAAAATTTATCTCTGCAAGAAACATTTGGCACGCTTGTCGCATGAGGGTCATCTTCAAGAAAATATGCAGGAAATTTTATGGTAAGGTTGGAACAGGCACCTAAAAATAATATAAAGAGAGACAGTCTGACTTGGCGCTCAACGGCCCTTCCTCCATTTTCTTGCAGAACATTAAGATTTAGGATTGAGGGCAAGCACAAAATCTTGTGCTGGAACATAAGATTTCTACGTTGGCCCTCTGCAAATTTTCTAGCAGAACATTAGGATTTAGGATTGAGAGCAAGTAAATTGCTCCGTGCCCAAAATTCTAAGCTGGAACATAGGATTCTAACATTAGCTGCGTATGTGTTGGCGACATAATCTCCACAATCAGATACGTGAACCTCCATTGCTTGTCTGAGTTATCCTTGAACATTTCAGCAAACACCTTTCCAGCTCCATGAGGGCCTCGGATGTAAAAGTTAACCTGCAATTGTAGATGGGCACATAGATGTTTAAATGGCAGAATAAACTGAAGATATGGTTGGCATTATCAGTTAACATGCTAAGGATTTATTTGGTTCAGTTGTAGTTATTTAAAAAATAATTATAAGAGTTATTGAGAGGAAAACAGTTTTTTTCAAAGCTTCCATGAATATCTAAATTTTCACTTCTGAGAAAGTGGAAGAACAGCTTTCATGGAACTACCATATCCTAGCAACAAGTTGTTTCTCACAGCAAAGCAGAAGGAAAAAATAGTACCCAAGCAACAGTGTAGCAATATGACAGTGGTTTGCAAAACGAAATAATAAAAAACCTGCACCAAATGGACCCTCAGTCACTTGGTGGATGGATGCCCAAATAACAAATTGAAGGTAACGAAAATATAGCTCCAAGAAACCAAAAGAAGGATCTGGCAATTGCTGAAATGAAATCCATATAAAAAGTAAAATAGTATATTTACCTCAACATGTTCAACACCATCTTCATCTTTCCAAACCCTATTAGAAATCCTTTGACGAGCAGCACGATTTCTACTTTCCTGGCCATAGCCAGTCACCGGGGAGCCAATCCTCACTTTAACCTGAAAATGCCGTTAAATATGACAATTTTGTTCTGAGAAAGATGTTAAAAGTTTTAGAGGGTGCGAAAGATGAGCTGCATGCAGCAAAGAAGTAAGAAGAGTCTACTGAACTAACTTGGCTATCATTTTGAACCCTGTCAAGCGCCTTGCCAAAAATCTTGTACCTGCAGAGTAAGATCTAGCTGATTGTGAGAGTGTTTCCTGCATATTTCATCGCATTGAATTTTGGCTGTGGAATGCAAAATGAAAATCAATTGATCCTGATCTATAATGTTAAAACTACATAAAGAAACTCCTATTTCATAGTGTTTTGTATCAGCGTCAAGCGTATATAAAAAATGAATGCCAAAATTAAAAGGATAAAAAAAAAAGGTTTTCTGGAGATCAAAACCATTAACTTAATTCTAAGTTAAAAGGTTAAACATACAGAAACTTTCAAACAAATTGAGAAACAAGATATAGAAAACAGTAAATGTTTAATCAGACGTTTTATGTTTTTTTAATATTGATTTTGAATTTTTTTTAATATTGATTTTGAATTCTTTTGCCGTCAATCCTGAAATTTGATAAGGTTGATCCCTACCTAAGATTTAATCAACTAGATAAATAATCTATGATCTTGATCTGCTTTTTGGAGCCCAATAACCCAAACATATCATTCTCCTTAGCCTTGTCCCACCTAGGCACACGGATTGTTCTAAAAATTCTTAGTATTTAAAATCAAATCAAACTAAAACTAAAATCAAAACATAACCGCTATTATGGCAAACTAGACCAAACCAAATCAAGATATCTGGTTTGATTTAGATTGGTTTTCGATTTAACACAAATCTTAAGAAATTGGGTTTTAAAATTTACTTGGGTTTGATTTAAAAGGTTTTTTAATTTACTTTGATTTAAAAGGTTTAAGTTACTTTGATTTAAAAGGTTTTTTAATTGTTTGAAATGGTTTCATTTGACAATTTTATTAAAAAGTGATGAATCATTAAATGTGGATTTCACCAAAGATAATGCTTCAAGAAAAAAAATAGCAATTGCACCTATGAAAACTTGCACAAAAGGGTCCAACCATCCAAGGAGCCGGGTATTCAATCAATCATGAAAGAATAAAGGATAAAATGACTCGCGGGGTGAAAAGCAAACATAATACCTAAATACTGAGGACTACAATTTCATTGTACCATTAATAAGACGATAACAAGAATTCGTTGACTAAAATATATATAAACTTCAGTAGAAATAGAAGAAAACCTTGGCTAAAATTGAATTTCAGCAAAGTTCAAACAGTAATTGAGAAGAATGATGTGGAAAACTAGGAGAACACATTTTTAATTGTTGATATATGGAAGAAAATGAATAGGATACAATGGATCTTCAATTGGAAAGGAAGATCCGTCTCTCCCAAATCTCTAGCCGCCAGCTAGAGCCCAAACCTCCTAGGAATTTTAATTTCAGCAAACACATACATAGCCCTAACCCTAGGAAAATAACCTAGTTAAAACATACAAAAAAAATGCAAATCCCAAAACAAGCCTTCTTTTGAAGTTTACCTCCTAATCTCTCTTAATTTCTCTCTAACTGTTGTTGAAACCCACCCCAAAAGGGGGGAGGATGTTTGAGGTGGAACTAGGGGTGTAACCGAGTCAAGCCGGCTCGGGCTCGACTCGTTAACGGGCTCGACGAGCCGAGCTTATCGAGCTCGCGAGTCGAGCTCGAACACGAGTTCGAGCTCGACGGCTAATCGAGCTCGAGCTCGAACACAGGGCTGCTCGACTCGATAGCTCGTCGATTAGCACGAACACGAGAGCGGGAGCGGAATTCGCCGCGGGAGGGGACTTCGCAGTGGGTGGGGACTTCGCCGCGGGAGCTGACTTCGCAGAAGCACAACCGGCGAGAAACGAGGAGACGGCTAACGGTCACAGTATCTGGCTTGAACCCAGCCACTAGCATTCTTCTGCAGGTTTCAGTGGCTTCAGGAAACAAGCCATGACGAATGTAACCGTTAAGCATGGAGTTCCAGGCGATGGGATCGTGGTCAGGGATCTGATCGAAGATACGACGGGCACGGGCGATGTCGCCGTATTTGGCGTACATGTCGAGGAGTGCGTTGAGCGCGAAAGGGTCGGTAGCGAAACTGGAGCGGACGAGGCGACTGTGTACGGACTCGCAATGAGGGACCGATCCGAGGTTGGCGCAGGCTTTGATGACGCGAGGGAAGGTGAAGCGGTCAGGCTCGACGTCCTCCTCCATCTGACGGTAGAGTGCCATAGGTTGTGGGCTTGCTCGACGAGGCCGCAGGAGCGTGTGCGGGCTTTGCCGCGAGAACTAGAGTGGATCGCGACAAGAGCTCGACGAGCCGCTCGACTCGACTCGTTTGTGAGACGAGTCGAGCTCGAGCTCATATTTTGAGCTCGAACTCGAGCTCGAGCTCGGTATTTGGCAGCCGAACTCGACTCGAACAACCCCTGGCTCGAGCTCGACTCGACTCGTTTGCACCCCTAGGTGGAACCTGCCCGCCTCCTATAGGACCGGTCTAACACACTCATATTAAATAATTATGTTTAAAATGAACTTATTTTTAAATTCAATCGATGCCACCTCCCATTATACCTCTTAACATAATCATTTTTCAATATAGCCTCTTAAAGATTGCCGCATATCTATCTAGCCATTGACATTTCTGTCAAGCTTAATTTGAATATTAATGACTTTTTTATTGCCCAATACTCATATTTATATAACATAGATGATAAAACTAAGTGTGCTTATGTAAAAAGAGTCGAGGTAAACCAACAGTGGTGTTTAATCTGCCTCCATTACACAAAAACTATACATCTTACATGGATAAGGCTTCGTACTCTCTTCAATGTATATAAAGTTGAGGAAACTAGCATATTGAAGTGTAACTGATGGGGACATCAGCGCATGAATCGTATATCAGAGGCGTCGCCAACGATATATGACCACGATTTCGTCGATGTATTTTGAGTTATTTCATGTATTTGTCTTATTATGTTATTAGTCTTTTATTATTAGTTATGTTTGTCTGTTTTTACCTCATATTTAAAGGGAGGTCATATGTAAGCCCTAAGGGCATTGTCATCTTTTTTATTTTGAGTCCTTTTGTACGAGGCTATTTATAGCCCTCATGTTGCTCTTCAAAAGTTAATGAATGATTGATTAAGATTTCTTCTTCGCAGAGTTCTTGTGAGAGTTTGAGAGATGAATCCCTAAGAGAGGGAAAACGGATCATCACCCACCAACCTTGGAGACGGTCGGGTTCATGGTTTGTTTATCGTTCTTGTATTTTCTTTCTTTCCTTCTCCTTTTCCTCCCAGCCGCCGGATTCACTAGTCGAACCACCACCGCCGGCACTACTTTCCTATTCCCAAACCCTTAATGCCGACCATTTAAAACCCCACCTCCACCCATCGCCTACACCTAACCCGCAAACCCATCCACGGCCAATCCCCATCGTCGGCCGCCCCTAGGCCTCTCCCTCCATCCCCACTTGCTATCAATTCTTTCCTAAATTAGAATTCATAAATTTGGTAACTCATTATTGATTAAATTCAAATCAATTTGAATTTAAAATAATTACTTAATTTATAAATCTTATTTTAGGAAACCTATTAAATAAAATCTTATTTAAACTTTAAATTAAGAGAGGATGGGATATTTCTTTCCAATCTTGATTTATTAATTTAAGCATTAATTACCACATTAAAGTCCCTCCTCCCCCTATAAGCCGCCGCCTCCCTGGCAGATTTGCTGAGTTTTACGTCTCCAATTTCCTCCTAAATTCCATCCGGTTTATATTTCCTGCTCCCCAAGCTTGCTGCCAGAAGTTCCTGCATCTGCCACTTGGTTTTCCTTCAACCTGAAGGTTCACAAACAGTTGCCTTGAGGGGACAGCTTGCTGTCCAATAGTTCCCGTCGGCTCCTTTCACCGTAGCACCATCGGGGAAGCTTCTCCTTACCGTCCAGCACTTCCCAATGTCAAAACAGCGACTTCTCGAATGGATGGCTGACCCAGAAACAGAATACGGCCTCTCCTACGACAAACTTCTTCAACATCTCGACTACTTATTTCTGGACTTTGACTAAGGTGAACTTCTCCCCCTCTTCAATTACCTTTCTAATCCCCTAATCTTGTAGGTGATGACGAATCCCAAGGAGCTGAGTTTCTCCTTATGCCTAAGCTCAGTAAACGTAGGATTTTGTTTCGCCATTGTCAAAGCTTAGTAAACGTAGGATTTTGTTTCACCATTGTCAAAGCTTAGTAAACGTAGGATTGAGTGCACTTTCTCTACTTCTAATCTAATTGTTAGAATAGGGATTTTGTTGAAAGCTATTTACCTTGCATGTTATTGAATTTCTAACTTGTTTTGATTCTCCAAGTACATGGTATGTGGCTCAGCCTAAACGTAGGCACCCCTCTTTTGTTTTCTATTGTCGTTTTGATTGCTAACAGTTTTAATCTTACTTGCTTATTCAAGAAATCGTGCAATTCTTAACTCATCCATTTAAAAATAAAAAATAAATAAATAAATAAATAAACATTTTAGTCCTGCATCGGTAACATCCTAAAATAATTCACTTTATAAGATAATAATTTCTTAGCAAGAAAAATGTCAAAGGAACTTACTCTTTTGGCTCAAAGATTAGCTCCTTAAATACAGCATAAGCAGCTAAGGCGGCAACTCCAAGGCCTGCAAGTATTATGACACCATATGAAGCACCCTCGACAAACGTCACTGGTTTCTCTGGAATATTATACGTGGGAGCATCATCAAATGGATCTTCAATTGTAGAGATATCTTTCCTTGATTCCTGGTGCAAACACAGAATGAATATTCGGTAGGACACTCTGCGCATTAGATCTATAAAGCTTGTCGCTAGTTTTTAGAGCTCCTTTAAGTGCTCTAAGTTATTGCTCAGAATCGAACGCTATATCAAAAGCAGCTAGCAGCACAAAACAGAGAGATGACATGAAATTTAAAAACAAACAGAAGCATTTGAAAAATTACAATCAATTCAATTTGAAAATAATTCGCTCAATTTCCACTATAATTGGTGTGAATATATTCTTGGCATTTCTAACTCAGCCCTACTTAAGTCAGAGCAGACTAATAAACTTCATAAAAATGCTTTAGCAAATGCTTAGAACGTAATTATATGCGTTTGACTGAATAAATCCACTTTAATTAATGGACGTAGGTTTCAAAGTGTTTCAGCCAGCAAACAAATGTTTCCCTCAATAAAGAAAACAAGCCGCAAACTTTGATGAACCAATAGGGCTCACCATCATCATCATCACCATTGGCCTTATCCCAAAAATTTCAGGTCTGATTCATGAATCATCATCTTTCATTCATTCCACTTGAAGAGCTAAACCTCCAATTTACAAATTATTTTAAACTACTTCTATCTTAGGTTTTCCCTTTTGTCTGACATAATCTTCCAACACTAATTTTATTTTATTATCTAATGTGCTCATTATCTACCTGTAAATGTTCAAATCACCTAAGTCTATTTTTCATAATCGAATCTTCATTAGATGCCACTCCAACTATTCATTTAATGTAATCATTCATTAACCTATATTTCATATTTTTTACACATCTTAATATTCTCATTTCTATCATGCTCAACTTAATTATCAATAATATTTTTACCAATAAAACAACTAGGCAGCAGGCTTAGATGGACACCAACAGCAATCAAGTAAAATAAAACCAAAACACAAAGATGCTTTCATACAAAAGATGCCCATCAGAGATTTTTCTTTCGTGATAAACAATAAGTTAGAGTTTTAACCAATCATACTTATCTCAAGGAACTCACACCAGTGCTATTAACTGTACAAAATTCTTCTATCTAATTAATTGAACCACTAACTCCATTAACTAAAAGTAATTTAAAGAATTAAATGAGGTGTGGAAACATTTGAGCCATTTTGATTTGCGAAAATATGTGAGCATGTAGGGAAAGCATTAGAATGTTCACCGAAAGTTTGGTGGGAGAGTTCGCTATATTAAATTGCCAGTTTAAAAAGTGAAGCAACAAATTGTTAATGTCCTTTTGCATATGAACAACATTAGATTTCAGCAGGTTATACAATTGAAGCAAAACAAACGTCATATATTGCAATTATTTGCAATGAAATAATAGAGTAATGATTGTGGCTTAAGCTTCAAACCTCTTTTGCCTGCTGTGATGATTGTGAAGAGTAATTTGATGAAAGTGGTCTGGTAAAACTAGGAAGCATGCAGTGCTTGGTATCGTTTATATTCAGCTGCTTTGAAGGGATTGAGCTTATATACCGGCTAAAGAGTTCAGCAAACGGTACTGAGCTACCTGCCGCAGGATTACAATCAAAACACCAAAAATTTAGGGAAAACTGCCTTAAAATTCCATCAGACAGTTGTTAAAATTGTGCCTGAAAAGAAATAGAAAACCAACATGGCATATGATTTCTCTTTTTTCAAAGTATAATTTAGCTTCTTCTCCTTGAAATAATACAAGTACAGTTTTTCAGCATTTACAAATATTTGTCAGTTAAATGAGACAAAACCATAATAATAATTAAAGAAAAAAGAAATTCCAAAATGTAACGATCAGGTAATTTACAAGCCCATAATTTCTTTGAACAAGGGTTGACAAATTAGTAACGTGAAGAGCTGCATAGAGCATAATAAAAACTTCATCGATCAAAAAAATTTGATACAAGATGTTTCAGAATGGCATGATATGCAGTTATGCACGGACCTTAAAGCTTAGCTTGGATAGGAAATAGTTCTTGATTTAGGGACAAGTTAAAACATTATAGAAAAGACAGTTGTAAGAGGTTGATCTAGCATCACAAAACATATAACCTTAACTCAGAAAAACTATGTTACTACCATGAAAAATGCAGAGAACCCTTTAAATGATGCAACAAGATATGAGACAAAATTAAACATTGGAGAGGTTCAAAATGTTGCAACTTCAATGCATATCAGATATAGTTTCATGAAATCTTCTCAGTATAACTTCAATCCGGGTTAGGCTGATAACGGCAAATGCTTAACACGTACGGGCAGATTGAAACGTTAATTAAATGTACAAACTACTGTTGGAATGCAATGAATACTGTTTATATATGAACTTTGGGTGCGTTTAATTAATTCGTCAACCAGCTAAACACATAATTCTTAAGAATTCAATAAATCTGAATTCCTTAAGTCTATTAATCTATTAATCAATAATATCGTAAAGTTAGGCTACTAATCTGCTTGATAATCAATTTCTATAATCAGCACAATTTAACTTTAATCTAAGGGGTGCTGTGATCAAAGAAGATTCTAAGAATAATCAAGCAATTATTAAGGGGTATTAAATCGAAATTATTCTAATAATTATGTTGTTAGTTATAAATACTGACAAAATGCTTATTGAGAGACTAATTGTAGGGTTTTTAGCAATAATACATACAGGATTAAACAAGGTAATCAACCAATTGCTAACATGTTTACTTTTAAATCATCATAATTAGTAGTTAATTGGTCTTTATTTTAAAAACAATAACATTAGTAATAAATTATATATATATATATATGAACTTCCATTAATTAGTAATTTCACAAGTAAAATAAATATATTTTGTAAACAAATATAACCTCGTTGTGTTCCTCTTTGAAAGCTTTCACTAATCACACAAACTTACAATTATGCAATAAGCGTAATCGCATAGAAGCGATTGTGATATTGCCGCAAAATTCAGGGATCAACAACAGTCAAAACTTTATCAAGGCCAACCACATTCCTTTGGTGCAATATGAAGCATGACGAATAACTGTATCTCAAGATATGCAATTGATCTTTCAGAAAGAGTGGAGGAAGCTAAAACAGTTTGGCAGGGAATAGGAGGGAGAATGGAAAGAGACTTTATCTATTAAATAATTGATGGATTAGTGATCTAATTATAAACAATGGCACGCTCACCTCTCCATTGGAGATTTTCCAATGCAACAATCTGTTTTAACAAATGTTTTACTATTTTTCAAGAAAATTAGTCTTCTCGCATATTTAAATCCTAACCATCAGACATGACCTTAAAATCTTTCCAAATACTAGATAAATTTCTTTCAATAGGACTTCACCCTGTTCCTCCCTCCCTACTTCTTCGTAAGGTTTTACTTTCTAAGAAGTTTCAGCTAAAAAACTGAGACTGAATAATTTTAATTTTATTTTAAGCATGAGAATAAACTCAGCAAGTTTATTAAAGATGATGTTAGTATGAATGTTGAGTTGAATCAGCTATTGATCGCATGAATTTAACTCTCGAACTATATCCACAATACAAGGCAATCCAACTTACTACATGTAGTGATTAGATTTAGTGTGATGTTTAGCAAATGAATGTAGTGCATATCATTTTGGGTCAGTTGCCATAAAATGATTCAGAAGTGATACTTTGGAAAGTCTAATATCTCTGTTCAAAAATAATTCTAGAATAGTTATAAAATCCACTAAACCAAAGAGTACTTCGTGTCTGTTGCAGGAGAATATAGTGTTTTTTAATGAACCGAAGAAATTATTACATATTTTAAATCAACATTCTTTTTAATTGATTTATAAGTAATGACTGTTTTATGCTTGTGTAGCAATAAAATGGAAGATGTTATGGTGGAGAGTGTGACTAGGATTGCAAACAAATTGAGCCGAGTCGAGTCGAGTCGTAGGGTATTTGAGCCCAAGGTCATTTACCTAAAACCTGTTCAAGCTTGGCTTGAGCTCAATTCAAGCCTTTGTAATAATATTAGAGCCCAATTCATTTACATTCATGCTTGTTAAACTTTGAAGTGAGCTCAGCTCATTTGGTGATTATCAAGCTTGAAATGAGAAGCTTGTTTAGTATAATTCTAGAAGAGCCCAAGTCAAGTTTATTGATGTTTGAGCTTAAAAATATAATTAAATTTAACAATTTTTTATCTATTTGCGCATTTCCCCACAGCACCCCCACGTGAGCCATCAGCTCATTCAATAGAAGCTAAAAGCAATACATAAACAACGTAAACATAAAATTATCTAGTGACGTGCGACTAAGTTGAGGGGCTATTTGGTAGCGAGATCCTCCTAACCAAAAAAATGGCAACTTCAATCCTACATAATATAAATCTCGCTTCTCTCTCATTTTACCTTAATACAAGAATATGGATAGATAATTAAAATATAATAAATCAAATAAATTGATACTATTAGCACTTTAATTTAATTAAATAAAAATTATACTAGCTAGTTTTATAAATTACTAATTAATGATTAATTGAGATGTTTCTTCATATTAATTACTACTTATCTATTTAAGTAAACACTACACAAGATTCGGGTTTAGGTTTAGGGTTTAGGGTTTAGGGTTTAAGGGTTTAGGGTTTAGGGTTTAGGGTTTAGTATATGAACTAATGTAAACAAATGTGGGCTCCGAAAATTCGGCCCCGGCCTCCACTCGCTTTTCTTATTTCGGCGAGGGAGTTTTAACGAGCTAAGTTCCGGGGTAAATTTTGGATTTAAATCTATACAACAACAACATCAAGCCTTTATTCCACTACATGGGGCACGGCACATAAATCCTTTTTCTGCATTGTATCATGTTAAAAGTTAGATTTTCATTTACATTTAATAAAAAAATGTCATTTATAATATTATCTAACCAAGTCCTTTTAGGTCTCCCTCTACCTTTCTTAAAACAGGTCAAATCCAATACATCAACTCTCCCAAATCGGGTCATCGAAACGCCATTGTTTTATGTGTCCAGAGGACTTCTCTAGAAACATTATCATATGCTTTCTCAAAATCAATAAATACCATATGTAGATCCTCTTTATTCTCTCTATACTTCTCCATCAAACCTTGCAATAAATGTATAACTTCTATAAGAGACCTACCCGTCAGGAATCCAAATTAATTTTGGAAACATTAGTATCACATCGTAACATATACTCAATAACTATGCATGCATGACACATTAACTTAATTCCTATATAATTGACATAGCCTTGTGCATCGCCTTTATTCTTAAAAATATGAATCAACACATTCCTCCACTCACAAGGCATCTTTTTAGCCTTCAAAATAATATTGAAAAGTTATTTTATATATAGATTAAAAATAAGGATGAAAGTTTAATAGCATAATGGCAAGTTAAGCATAGGGAGTCATAAACTCAAAAAAGGGCCAAGCATTTGAATAAGGGGGTGAAGATTACTTAAATTCTAAAGATGATATTAGTAAGTAATGAGGTTAAAATCTACTAAAGAGAAATAAATATAATTGAAATAAAAATTATTAATATGGACATTTTATATGAATGGTTATAGGCATTCATCTAAAAGAGGCAAAATTAAGGGCAAAAGAGCAAAGGCAAGCCACTTGAGGTTGAGATGGGTACTCATATTTCTAATTTAAAGTAATACTTTTGCCTCTTCTAAATCAAATGCATCAATTTTTATTAATATTCATTCAACTGGTTATTAGTACAAATTTACTTATAATTTAAGTTTATTATTAATACGATAGGTCATGTTGAAATGAATGAAAATAATTCTTGTTATGCATTAGTTCCTTATCCTATTTTATATAATATTTTCAATATAAAGATATTGAATGATATGGAGAATATAGAAGAAATGATTTATATAAAAATATTTGCATGTGCAAGTTGACTGATGGAGTTCACCCTCTTATGATGCTATCAAACAACCCTAAGGAAACTTGTATAAGTGAAAAAGGGTTATTTATATTGAAGTACCTTAAATGGTACTCCTATGCGGATGCATTACATAAAAATGAAATAGATATGATAAGTCATTGTTCTTTTTTATTCATATTTTAATTCTACAAAAGAATGTTTAAATACTCTTACATTGTCATTGTGGGCTCCGAAAATTCACGCCCCAGCCTCTCTTAGGCTCCTTTCTTTCTTTTACATGTCGTCGAGAAGACTTTTTAATGTTTAAGTTCCAAGGTAAATTTTCATAAGGCAGATATTTCACCCTTATTTTGCAAGGACTTTATGATCTGAGTTCAGGTTTCCTATAGACGCAACCCCTATAGTTAAATAACCCTCCTGATAGTGAAAGAGAACTTTAGATTAAGGAAAGTCGTTAAACAGACACAGGGTATTAGGCGTATAGTAGCAGCAGGATTTAGGTATTTGAAATTTAAAATTTGAAATTGGAAATTCACTACCTTGCACTTAAAGCGGATGGTAAGGGGAATAATGATGAACCCGATCAAGATCCCATGGTTTTGTAGTCCTGTGTCATCATGATCCCTAGTCTACTTAGTCAAAAGAGGTAGTCGACCCAACCTGACAA